ATAAGCACTCCGGAGATTACTTTGGGGCCACCCAAATAATGCATGATAATCCCTTCTTCTCAAGACCCTTAATCACAGTCCGAAAGTCCCTTTTGCCATTTAAGGTGACATTCATAGGCCCTGGGATTAGGATGTGGACATCTTTGGGGATGAGGGCCATTGTTCTGCCTGCCACATACTTTGTTTGCTGTTGTTCATCTCTATTTTGAAATCTAATACTTTTAAGATATTTCTCAAAAGCTACCTTCTAAAAGAAACATCTAAGAATTCCCTTCAGTTGTCTCTCTGCTCCTGGTGAATATTGCTGTCTTTCTGAGATAAATGATGTGTTCTTTCTTATGCATCTAAATTATGTATATACATGTATGTCTGTCCCACTAAATCTCCATCTTGTTGAAGGCAGGGACCTTCATATTTAGTTCATATCCTGAGCTACTAACTTACCTCAGATTTTTGCTTTGAACTTATTATGTGTTAAAAGTATTTATTAAATTTCACTTAAACAATTATTGGTGTAAAGAAGAGGAGCTTAATATTTTTAGAAATTTGTTGTTAGGAAGAAAATGCATTTCACCTTACATATTTGAAATCATGATATCCTATTGACAGTGTAGGGGCCCTGTCCAGAGTGCGCCGGCTGTTCAAAGCCAATCTGAGTGTGGGAATCCTAATCAGAGTGTTCAAGGCTAATTTGCTGTATGCAGGTGCAAAAGCAAGGACACAGCAATCTTACTTACCCACTGACGGTGCAGGCATGCCTTTCTGTAACCCAAATATTGGTGTCACTATTTGGAAAGAAGCCTCCTTTGTTTAAGTTAGTGTAAAGATGTGTTACTGACCATCCGAGGCTAGGCTGCTTTTATATAGGGGCGGCTGCTCTGTATGTGTTTGCTACTGTATTAGTAAGGGCTACTGTGTGAGCAGTAGTTCCTATGTTTGCTGGACTGCTTTATGTGACAGCTTTGTTAGCTGCTGCCTTGTAAGGCTACTTTGAAGAGTTGTTTTGTCTAATGGCTCCTTGTTAGCAATGGCTACATAGTCTGCAATAAAGCCCCTCTTATACACCTATGGCAGCTCATAACTTCTTCATCCCATACCCGATGCCCATGAAGGTCCAGTCCCTGCCCGAGGGACTCGGACACAACAGTTGGCATAGTCGGCAGGATGAAGGAGTGAGTACTTCCCAACAGACAGTTACTTGAATTAACTTGTAAGACAGCATCTGGCAGACAAAGGGAAGCTACCATCTAATAATTTTCTAGCCGTTGATTGGTACAGAACGGCGGAGAAGGTACAAGGCATTGGTATGTGGGGCACATGAGCCACGGGTGTCAGTATGCACATTGAACATATCTCATGGGGTGTACCCTGGAACTGGTGTTGAGAGTCAAATAAGCAAAATATTCTCCTTATTTTTTGATGATTAGTAGTTAATACATTTAAAATGTAGACCGAGACTTTATAGTAAATAGGGGGCAAAAGGTTTGAATGAAATATTATCTTGAAAAGTAATGCTAAAATTATAAAACTTTATTTTATAACATTTTTAAATTATAAAGAACTAATGTAATGCCTTATTACCCAAGTTCATGACTATGTAATTTGTGTAATTACACAAATTTGTGCACCTTGAAAGGAACTGTAGGCTGTGAGGCTGTGGTAGGCAAGGGGTGGGTCTCAGCCTATCCTCAGCGCCCTGCCTGGCCCCTCCCGCTGTGGTCCCTGGTTTCCTATCTGCTGGCAGTTTCACTCTTGCTGCCGCTGCTCCCATATGCTCATGGTGCCGGCCCCACTCGCACCCACTGAAGGCATAGAGCAATTAGGGCCGGCACCAGCAGCGGGTACAAGCAGGGCCGGCACCATTAGCGGGTGCGAGCGGCTGCTGCTGCTACTCTGATCGCCCCTCAGGAGCAGGGAGAGGTGGAGAAGCCCTCAGGGGCGATCAGGGTCTGCAGCCACTGCTTGCACCTGCTGATGGTACCAAGCAATTGGACCAGCACCAGGCACCAGCAGCAGGTGCCAGTGGTGGCTCTGGCGCTGGCTGTGGGTGCGAGTGGGGCCGTTGCCGGCAGTGGGTGCAAGAGGCGGCTGCTGGCCCTGATCGCCCCTCAGGATCGGGGGAGGTGGAGAAGCCCTGAGGGGCAATTGGGCCCAGCAGCCGCTGCTCGCACCCGCTGATGGCACCAAGGGATTGGGACTGGCGCCCAGCGCCAGCAGTGGGTGCAAGCGGTGGTTCTGGAGCCAGCAGCGGATGTGAGTGGGGCTGGCACCAGCAACAGGTGCAAGCGCCGGGCAGGACCATGGCGTGAGGGAGCAAAGAATTTTCAGTAACCACCAGAAGCTCGCTCACCTGGTCCACCATCCTGCAGCAGCTGATGCCTGCTATGTTCCGCATACCCCCCCTGGTGGTCAGTGCACGTCATAGGAACTGGTTATTCGGTTGTTCCACCATTCGGTGTATTTGCATATTAGCCTTTTATTATAGAGGATTCATATTGTGTGCTTTCAAGTTGGTATAATATGACCTGGTATTCCAGTATGATCTTCTGAGAAGTTAGTGTAAGTTGTTGTAAAACCTCTGTTGTAATATCTTCTGTTTCTTTTAGTCGGCACAGAACCTGCCTATTCCTGCCTTCCCCCGACTCCAGTGTCCCAAGGAAAGATTGGCATCAGTTGGCAGGCTGTTTGATATTCAGAAAGGAGTGGATTTTACACTGTTGGAATCTGCACACCATGGGAAAATACTTTTTGGTTGAAAATAGATTTTAAAATGTGTAACTTGTTATGGGAACACTTGATAGGAAGACAGGAAAGTTTCTGTGATAAAATTTTGAAAGCTCAGTCTTTTAGTAGCATTTTCCTTTGATTTTCTTAATTGACTGAATTCTTAGTAACCACAAATTGAGACTACAGCTGCTGCTGCAGGTAGACAGCCGGCCTGCCTTCAAGTTAAGCGTTCTGTAAGCTGGGACAGGCGGATGCTTATCGTCTATGAACTATGGCAGGTGCAGACTATGAGACTTAATCACTTCCTCTTTCACCCTGTCAACATCTCGTTTTGCTTTATGATTAGTTGTCTTTTCTGCTTTTCCTGCTACAACATGAACTTTTTGGGAATAGGCACCACATCTTTTAAACTTTCGTTTCCCAGGACGTACCTTCTCATGGGTACTTCCTAAGTGCTTTGAAGCAAATCTACTCGTTCCTAAGACTTGTTTTCTAGCACATCACTCCAAAAATGTGGTCATGTCTGGATATGTTAAAGATAATTGTTTTCCTTTATGTTTTTTTTTTTTTAAATACATCTCTAGGTCAAGTAGAGCCTGTTAACTTAAATTGGATAAGTCAGCCGCTTATCCTCTTGTGGCATATTTTCATCAGATTTTTACGATGCAGGAGAAAGTAAAAAATTGTGTAAATGTGCATATGATGCACATTACTTATTTGATTCATTTATTAAAACTGGTGGCAGCGCTTTTAGGGCAACTTCTTTTGTTCTCTTCAGTATTCTCAATGTCAGCATGTGGTGCCTCACTGAACTGACTTGTATGTTTTTACTTTTCTCTGGATTACATTGAAACCAGGTGGGAATTCCTCCCTGTTTGCTTTCTTTTTTAAATGCTACGTTTGGTCTTTGTATATTTTAATTGCATTTTTCTCTTGTTTCAAACCAGGGGAACCAAAGCTCCTTTTGAAATACATGCTTTTGTGTGTGTTTTAGGTCAAGATGTTTATAATGAAATTTAGGGTAGGATGAGTAAAAATCTTGGGATAAACTGATTTTTATATCTATTGTTTCATAGTGTCTAAAGGCTGATCAGGGATTCTTATCCTGAGATTCTTGGATGTTTTCTCAGAGTGCACAAGCCTGAAATGTGCTTACTGTGTGTATATGTATGTGTGTGTGTGTGTGTGTGTGTGTGTGTATACACACATACATTTACAAGAGTTGGCAAAAGTGGGTTTACAGTTTTGAGTACCCAAAACACAGTTTATAGTTGTATTATTACTTATTTTTGTGTTATATGTTTTTGACTGCCATTTTTCATGTTTGTTGTTTCTAGTGCAGTGGGTCTTTGATTAGCAGCCCCTCCTCACCCGGTACCCTCACACATGTTGTTTCTTACAATTCCTCGTTGGACTGGGCGATTTGATAACCTGGCTTGAGTGAATTATTGAGGGACACTGTGAGTGATGGCCCGAGGAGACAACAGTGGAGTGAAGTGCTTGGGCTTTGTAACAGCTGTGCTTGATATTCGGTGGTCTGTTTCCCTTCCATCTGCTTTTGAAATTGAATTCTGGAGGATTCATGGGGCTAGATCAGTGATGGCGAACCTTTTGAGCTCAGCGTGTCAGCATTTTGAAAAACCTTAACTCTGGTGCCGTGTCACATATAGAAATTTTTTGATATTTGCAACTATAGTAAAACAAAGACTTATATTTTTGATATTGATTTGATATAAACAAATTCCATTTAACAAAAAAAAATCAACCAAAAAAATGAGTTTGTGTGTCACCTCTCACACGCGTGTCATAGGTTCGCCATCACTGGGCTAGGCTATGATTCTGTGTAAGTGAAGGCCTATGGAGGGGGCTAGGCTATGATCCTGTGTAAGTGAAGGCCTATGGAGGGGGCTAGGCTATGATCCCGTGTAAGTGAAGGCCTATGGAGGGGGCTAGGTTATGATCCCGTGTAAGTGAAGGCCTATGGAGGGGGCTAGGCTATGATCTCGTGCAAGTGGAAAGCATATAGAATTCTCATTCTCTTGCAATTGTCACATATTCACCTGTTCTGAGTAAATGCTGCCCTTCCTTATGACTAAAGTTTTCTCTTTATATTTTAATTACGAAAGATTTGGGAACACTTTCTAAAATGACTGTAATAAAATATAACAAAAAAGCATTCAAACTTTAGATATTGCAGTGCTTGCTTTTTCCCTACTCTCATTGGGTGAATGCGCATTTGTTTCTGACTGGTACTCATTTCTCTTGGTCATTAGGTTGCCCCCAATGATGAAGCTGTGGTGACATTATTGTGTGAATGGGCTGTGAGCTGTAAACGGTCTGGCAAGCACAGGGCGATGGCAGTGGCGAAACTCTTGGAGAAGAGGCAAGCGGAAATCGAGGCCGAGGTGGGTGTTCCTGTCTGTTTGTTGACCCAACATTTAAACATTATGTTTTGGGAAGGATTCTTTTTTCTTATCCTCATTATATTATATTTTTTCTTTTAAAGGAAAAAGGGAGAATGTACAAATTCATGGCAGGATCTCTCTAAGTTAACGAAGCCAATAGTTCATATACTGGACTAACTTACAGTTATCTTTTATTTTTATTTTTCTCTATAGATTAAGGTATTACATATGTGTCCATATCCCCCATTGTCTCTCCCCTCAACCCCCCACTCTTGCCCTCACCCCGCCCCGGTGTCTGTGTCCATTGGTTAGGCTTATATGCATGCATACAAGTCCTTTGGTTGATCTCTCCCCCTTATCCCTACCTTCCCCTACCTTCCCTCTGAGGTTTGACAGTCTGATCGATGCTTCTCTGTCTGTGGATCTGTTTTTCTTCATCAGTTTATGTTGTTCATTAGATTTCACAAATGAGTGAGATCATGTGACATTATCTTTCTCTGACTGGTTTATTTTGCTTAGCATAATGCTCTCCAGTTCTATCCATGTTGTTGCAACTGGTAAGAACCCCTTCTTTTTTACGGCAGCATGGTATTCCATTGTGTAGATGTACCACTGTTTTTTTAATTCACTCATCTGCTGATGGGCACTTAGCCTGTTTCCAAATCTTAGCTATGGTAAATTGTGCTGCTATGAACATAGGGTGCATATATCCTTTCTGAGTGATGTTTCTAGTTTCTTGGGATATATTCCTAAAAGTGGGACTATGGAGGGGGCTATGTCAAATGGGTCAAATGGGAGTTCCATTTGTAGTTTTTTGAGGAAGCTTCATACTGTTCTCCACAGTGGCTGCACCAGTCTGCATTCCCACCACCAGTGCAAGAGGGTTCCTTTTTCTCTGCATCCTCGTCAGCACTTGTTGTTTGTTGAACAATTATCTTTTAAAACAAAACTTTAATATCTAAGAACAAAGAACTCTTCCTTTGCGAGGTTAAGATACATACACACAAGTGTGTGTGTGCGTGTGTGTGTGTGTGTGTGTGTGTGTGTGTGTGTGTATGTATCTACACTAATAAAAGAGAAACATGCTAATTGGCGTGCGACCGCTACCCTTTTCATTGGCTAATCAGCAAGATATGCAAATTAACCTTCAGCCAAGATGGCGGCCGGCAGCAAGGCAGCTTGAAACTAACATGAGGCTTGCTTGCTTCAGTGACGGAGGACTCCAACGTTCCCCGCCTGCTGCTGCAGGCCTCTGAGCTGCAACTTTAAGCAACTATGTAACAAATATAGAAGCTAAACAAAACCCCAGAAACCTGCTTTAGTTGCCGGGCTTCAGCCAGCAGGATCACAACATTGTTTCAAATACAGAAGGTAAACAAAGGCCAGAAACCTGCTTTCAGCAGCCGAGGCCTAGGAGCTGGAGCCTCA